CTGTGGATGAAGGTGATCATCATGCTAGAGGATCTGAAGGAACATCCTCGAAGTGAGCGTGGATTTCGTGTTTTTTTTTGTGCTACATGGTATTACCACCAAAAAATGCTGGTTAAGAGAGCACTGGGGCAAATCGGCGGAAGCGTGGGGTTTGGATAAAAAAGATGAACCTCCGCCAAAGGAAAAGGAGAAGGTAGGGGAATTTTTTCCATTCAAATATTTTTTTGCTTTCTCTACAAAAATCGTATTGTTTTACTTCAATGCCATACTTCCAGTTACACATTCATTTTACATTTTAAATAATCAGGTAAACCTTGGAGTAAGTGGCAAACTCGCAGAGGATACTAATATGTACCGCGGCGTTCTGATCAAGTACAATGAGCCACCAGAAGCAAAGAAACCAACACTGAGGTACCATTACTTTGTCTGGTTCTGAGAATTTTGAAGTTTTTCAAGGTATGCTTTTTATTATTCTTGTTTAAGTAAACAAGGGAACATAATGAAGTCAAATAAAATTATACTACTATATACCCTGAAAACGTTGATTCTAAATCTGCATTCCACATCGCTAGCATCTCTTTAGTCGTTAGGAGAATCATCACTAAAAAGTGCTGTTGTGCAATGGTTTTGACTCAGACGGAACAACGACACAGAGTCGTTTTCCTGAATGGTTGACTTGAACAAAATGAGCTGTTGTTTGGTTACTCAAAATCAAGAGTATAGCTCATGCCAATTATTGTTAGGCGAAAAAGTGAGTCATTAATGTTTCCAGAGAAGTGCACAGCAATAATTAAATGCAGATTTGCAATCAGCGTTTCTAAGCACATTTATGACACGCATATGATTTCGTGTAGGCTCTTTGACCATTCCCTTGTAAGTTCTTCGCGTGTTTACACTTCTTTTTCTCACAGTTATTTTTAGATGGCGGCTGTATCCGTTTAAAGGCGATGAACCTCTGCCAGTGCTCCATATACATCGGCAGTCTGCGTATTTGATTGGAAGAGATCGAAAAATTGCTGATTTACCTATTGATCATCCTAGTTGCAGCAAGCAACATGCTGTGCTACAATATAGGTAATAGTACTATTTTGTTTTATTGCTTTTCTTCATAGCATAGAGCTGATTCGAGATTTGCGTGTTCATTAAACGAAAGTTTCCTGGATTATAGATCAGTTCCATATGAGAAACCTGATGGAACAAAAGCACGACGAGTATTGCCTTACATAATTGACTTGGGGAGCTCAAATGGAACATTCCTCAATGGCTCAAAACTTGAGCCGCAAAGGTGGGACGTTTCCATACTTTTTACTCGTTTGATCTTCATTTTTGAACGAAATACTCGAAATTAATGTGAATCATATCAAGTAATTTCTTCTAGATATGTTGAGTTGAAGGAGAAGGATGTTTTGAAGTTCGGTTTCTCAAGTCGCGAATTCGTCGTGCTCAATGAAAAATCAGCTGGTGAGGAAAATGCGTCTGACCCTGAACCTATGTCGCCTAAGTCGGAGTAGAATATAGGGATCAATATGGCATGCTTAACCTTGAGATTGC